CTTTGCAAGGCTATATTTTCCAAGCTTTACAACATTTCGCAGCCAAATTTTGCACTTTTACTAATTTCAGTATGTTCTTTTTACCTGTGGTGTTTGATTCCCTTTTCTATGCTTAGATTAAAATTTAGTCTAACATGCAAGTTGTCCATTAATGAAAGAGCGTGAATTGTTGTTTTTGTTCGTTTTTACTACAGTCTACATACAGTAATCGCTGAGCGATACACACTTCCTTTACACGTTTTGATTTTCGAACATAATAAAAAATCCAAAACATTTGATATTCCGTAGAAACGTGGCTGAATGGGTATTTAAAACGTGTACCTATTTCATATAGAATGATGGGTCGTGTCACATTCTTTCACTAAACTAGTTTAATTTGGAGTGGCCTTATGTATATAATAATCTATATAGCAAACGTGTATATTCGAAAGTAGTTTTGAATGCTCTCACAACTCAACTGTCTGCATTATCAGATTAGACAGATTTAGAGCGCGGATGTCAAAGACGACGTGAAAATGGCGTGTTGTGCCCATATATGGATATGCCACCCATTTTCACGTCGTCTTTGACATCCACGTCCTTGTCCTGTCTATTATGTCAGCTCACTTCATCAAGAAATATCGGATTTTCCCGTCACCATGTCTCGACGCGTGGGGAAATGGGAGAAATGTATTCAAGGGGACGTCGTGATTTTCAAACATCCTCACGTTTTTGTCCACACAGCGCTTTTACATCATACCGCTCGTCGGCTCGTGCAAAGGAAGCAAAAAACTAACAACATATATTTACATTCTATTTAAAAACACGTATGCCGGTATGGAATATAAATTGCATAAAGTATACAACAAATTATATACATATATAAAAAAATCATTTTAACACTATATTATTAGACCGTATAAATAAAATCCTATAGTTCTAGGTTCAATGCTTTTTAACACGTTGTCAGGTGAACGAGCAGTTTAATTGAACCTGACGTCCAACATTGTTTCAGTTCTTTTTTCGCATTTACTCTACTATAATCTATATCCATAAGTCCAACATCAACATTTTTTGCTGACACGAGTGATAAGCACAGATTTCCAATCAGAAACTCAATATCTTGTTACTGATGATCTTAGTGTATAAATGACTCTCAAATCACGAAAACGAGGCTCTATTGTATAGGCAAGGCTGAGTACTTTCCGAGAATATGAAAATATCTCTAAAGGTCGAATCAGCAATTTGTTCACAACGGAAATCGTATTTCATGATATTTGTTGTGTTGGTGTAACGTTTAATTTGCCGAGTCATGAACTTTTTACGCGAAATCATCATTTTTTACAGTGACAGTAATTTTTTCATTTTCAATTTGTATACCTGTAGAAACTGTGAATATTTAAATGTTTTCTATAAGGAATGCATAGTATTGTTTGACGCCCAAACGCCTATGTTTCCGACCGTAAACATTTATAAAGCAGCTCATTTTTCGAAATTTGTCAGCCACCTGCAGCATGATGATTGCTCTTGGATGAAACAGGTAAAAAACTACATATCTCTTCATTTTAGCATAATTTTACAGACTATGTGCACACGGTAACGTTTTCGAGCGTTTTCAGCTGTAACGTTTTCAAAAAGTGTCGTTTTCAAGCCGTGTCCACACGAAAACGGATGAAAACGTCATCTTATGACGAAAACGTTTTCAATGCTAAAAACGTTTTCGGACAAGCGTTTTCACGTTGAAACGCTAAAAATCCAAGATGGCGGCTTAAAATCAAAATGTTATATTTTTGTATCCTGGAAGCTTAAGATCTTTCATTGGATCATTAATTCTTAAGTTAAAAACTTTAGCAGCAAATAAAACAAAATATATAGCCTTTCAAATGTATAATGATTTATGAACGATTTAAAATGCGGTTTGCTTTCGAAGAAGCGACAGACTTCGTATCGGTGATGCTAAACAGTACATATAAAACTGTTTACTTTATGATAATGAGCAGAGGACATTTTAAGAAACTCGTTGACAAGTAATGACTTTATCTGGTGGAAAATGAATGGTAATAACAAGCCGCTAGAGATGGAATTGTTATCGAGACAAACATTTGCATCTCGTGAAAACGTTTCCGTGTGGACAGAGCGTCAAACTGACAAAATTGGAAACGACGTTTTAGAAACGCTCGGAAACGTTACCGTGCATGTGCACATAGTCACAGACAAAGTACACACTTTTAAAATATGTTTACCGCTTGAGAAACGTATCAAAAATTTAAAATTTTGAATATAGTCATAACCAATCTGCCTAATCTATAGCCTAATCCTCAGGGGAAAGTTTATTATTATTATTATTATTTAAACATATTTATCCACGGTAACCTTTCAGTTGCCTGTTTTTCAAAGGGCCGTGGTCTAAAACTATTAAAAAGATATAAAACTAAATCTAAACCTAAAGTATAACACACTAACATTAATTCAAATTGAAGTATAACATGCAAACGACCTTACAATGCAAGTAAACATTCGATAAAATTTCGGGAAAATTTCGCTATCTTAGCAATTTTTAATAAGCCTTTTGGACTGATTCAATGAAAGATGCTCATGTTCCTCGAGAATTTCGTTTGGAAGTTTATTCCATGACACTGCTGCGCGGTAGGAAAAACTTTTCTTAAGGAAGTTAGTGTTTGGTTTTGATAAGTGAAGTTTTCGTTCGTTACTTCTCAATGCATAATTATCGTTCTGGGACATAGTAAACATTTCTGTTAAATATTTTGGTGTCATTTTGTTAATTGCTTTAAATGTCATTGTTTGTTCACGTTGTTCGAGGGATATTTGCAATGGGCTCCCAATTCAATCTATTTAAGATCTCTGTTGATCTTATTTCATACCCTGAGTTAGTGATAACACGTGCTGCTCTTTTTTGTAATTTACTTAATTTGTCAATGTGGGTGATATTTCCGTTGTGCCAAACTGTTGAGCAGTAAGTGAAATGTGGTAGGACTAGTGAATTGTACATTGTAATAAGGGCATTTTTTGTCAGAAAACTTTTTGCTCTTCTCAAAAGTGCAATGTTTTTTGAAATTTTTGCACATTGATTATCTATATGGTTATGCCAATTAAGTTGTTCGTCAAGAACCACTCCTAGGAATTTTTTGTTAGAAACTCTCTTTATCATATGATCTCCTATTAATATGTCAGGATCTGAATTTATTTGATTAAGCCTTTGTCTCGAACCAACAATCATATATTCTGTTTTCTCAGCACTTAAAGTTAGTTTGTTAGCTAATAGCCAATTATGAACACTGTTCAAGTCTGAGTTAATTTTTTGTTGAATGTCAGTTGCTAATTTTCCGTCACAGGATATATTAGTGTCATCAGCAAACATTGATGCTTTTGTAGACCTTAAGCAATTTGGTAAGTCATTGATGTAAAGTAAGAAAAGCAGTGGTCCTAGATTTGAACCCTGAGGGACTCCGCAAGTAATTGTAGCTCTATCTGATATTTCGTGATTGTAGCTCTATCTGATATTTCGTGAATTGTAGCTCTATCTGATATTTTGTTTCTCTCATTTCATATTCGTCTTATATTATATGTCGCCGGTTCCCCTTTTACTGTTGATTGCATCTCTTTGTTTCGCCTTCAAACCTCTTTGTTTTGCCTTTAAGCCTGTTTCCCCCTTTGACAATTTTCGCCTTATTTCATCATGTAATCACAATTTCAAGGCACACTAGAGCTATGTGCATGCTTAGCAAAATGTCATTCGTGACTGTTGGCGTAAGGAGAAAACTCTCGTGTGCGGTGCACTTTTCTACGTTTTTGGTCACTCGTGACGCGTAAGACAAATATCCAACATGTTGAATATTTTTTTGTCAGACGTGCCAAAATCTCAATTAGTTGAATCAGTGAATATATGCTAAATAATAACCACCTAAGCTGCCCTTATATGCAAATGATTATTTGTTATGATGGACCAAAAGCAAATTATTGCTGCGTGGACAAATTCCGTTCGTATGTCGCATTGAATTAAATATCATAAAATGTTAGCATGTTATTCGCAGAAGCAAACTAAAAAATAGGTACGCTAGGCGTACATGTATCAAAACTGGAGTCACATTTTGTATTTTCTTGAAAGGAAATGAATCATGAAGTTCGAATGACAATTGAAATATTTCATCACTTATTAGATTTTAAAGTCAATCATAATAAACGAAGAGAAAATTTAACTAATTTTATAATGTCATTATGATCATAACGGATAATTATGCAGTGAGCAAATACAAATTTCATGCAAACAATACTACACTTGCACAAAATAAAATATTTTTAATTAATATCACGAGTATATGTATTATATACATGCAGTAGAACAAGGTTTTCAATTGAAAATGAATGTTTAATGTTAGATTCTAGTATTGAATAAAATAATGAGGTTCTGGTTTTCATGATGAATAAAATAGCTGCTATGAATTCCACTTGCAGTGGTATTTCCATAACTGTAACAAAGGTTTCCATAGGTCAACTAAGTTGTGACGTCATTCTTGATACATAAACTGGGATGTCACACTGATAGCTTGACAATCTTGTTTATCGTACATATAATCAACATATGCAAAACATTTTTAATTATGAAAATATTTTTTCCACCTACTTTTCTTCTGTAATCTTTATTAGGCAATTACAAAGGACAGCATACTTCGTTATGCAAAAAAGTATTGTTTTTAAACAGGTGGGTAATTTGTCTGAGCATGCGCTAACCAGCGGGCAATTCCTGGGGCGAGTTGAAGAAAATCAATATGGCGATGTATATTATAGTTCCAGCTAAAGCATAGGCAGCCCAGAAATGCGTGGTATTTGTCTCTTTTATGTACTAGTTTCATAGCTTAGCGTTATAGTGACATAATAACAAATTTGTCATAATAATAAACGAAGTAGATTCGTATATGCACACCCGAACGCCACGCGCGAGCGTGAAAGATTTTCACCTGCGAGCTTTCAAAACTTTTCCAAGCTATGAGACTAAATAAAAGAGACAAATCCCACGCATTTTATATCTGCTGCGCAGATACAAAAATCGTCCCCAGAAAACGAAAGAACCACACAATTTTGTGTTTAACCCGAAAGATAGCATTTCTTTATTATTTTACTGTGTAGAAACTAAATTATTTTAAAACCATTTTGTTTTGTATCCTATAGCCTAGGCTACAGATATCTCAATTTGTACGATACTTTTTCTTTTGATATGTCTTGTTTTTATTTTGCTGTATGGTGTCCTGACGCTGTATTGTGTTTTCGAAACTTAATGTAAAGTGAAAAGTGTATTTAAAAAAACTTTATTTCGAGGAATAGTTTTGCATTTTATTTTACCAATTTTCTCAGCCATTTCCTGAACAAATTAAAGCTA